TTCATTAAACAGTTTTTTGTTTCAAATAACAAGAACAGTTACACATATTTAGTAAATCACCATGATGTCGTAACCTTTAGAAATGGAAACTATGGCTGGTTGCCGTCATATCCGGTTGTTCGCCGTCAACCATGGGATTAGTCTATCGTGCCGTGATTTGATTTGCAATACCACTTCCATATTGGACGGATACGATCACCATAACTATCATAAGTACCTACTTACACTGGATTTTCCATTACGAAGTGAGAGGAATACTAAACTACACAACAAATGGCAGTTTACTTTGAAAAGCCCGTCCGTAGTAGTAAAATAATAAATTTACAAGCCAATCGACGTCCATACTTTATTACCCAATTGGAATACCTATTAATAGTGTATTTTATACCCTTTAAATCGTAAAGTTCCTGTATAGTATCGAAGCAACTTATTGTTATTCGATTATCTAACTTAGAACTTTACGTATATTGAATCAAATTTATGGCTTTTGTGACATTTATTTTAATACATAGAGTTGATTTTAATTTATGCCAGAAAGCTATAGGGAATAAACCTCTAATTAAATTGAATTTAGGAATTAAATACGAAGTAAAAACTAACGTACCTGGAAATTACAATACCATTCTTTTAAAACAATACTAAAACCATAACACTCGAGTTCAACGTCCTCTACAACTATTACGAATCTTACTCAATCATTCTTTATGTTCATAGCTTATAGCCTGAATCTACAGCAAACACTCGTAACAAATAAATATCATCTCTCCGCGTAGTAGTAAATACCAAAGTACTCAGCGTTGCCGAGGCGAGGCGAGGCGCCATGAAACTCGTGCCAAACTATAAAATGACGGATCTAGCTAGACTCCAAGTCGCCGACAAATAAGATAACAGAGTTATTCTGCTATCAATCTATTTTCCATGTGGAGGCAGAAGAGTAGAATTCAATTGTTACCACCGTAGTTCTTTCCGTGGGTTTTAGGTATATGAGTCGACTAATAGACATCTTTTAGAGAGTAGCGCTTTCTGATAAACCTGATCCCTAACCCGCTTGCCAGCTGTGAAGATTATTGCAGATCCCTTTTTTTAGAAAATGCCCATAGTCCAACACACTGTCACAGGCGGTTAATGTTATGTATGTTAATCGATTACATATTAACTAAACAACGGGACGAGAAACAATCCCGTTACTTCAGATACATTTGACGACTTTATCATTCTAATTCATGCAATAACACCTTCCATTAACATACATGTTTGTCTGAATCGTAAAATATAGAATTATGAATAAAAGACGTGACTTCACTAGAATAAAACATGTTAGGAGCCTTCAATAACGAATTAGAATTACAAAATATTGTTTAACATTGAAAAATTGAGTTATTCATGGGTTTCGTGAATTTTATTATGTAAACTGTGTAGTTATTGCTTTACAATGCTTATAGAATATGCAAGTACATTGACAAATATCTTAGTTAACGAGAAATTGTTTCATATTTATTGTATAGTTAGAAACATTTCAGCGTCATTGTTTATCTGTGGTTACGCCCACAAGCCATGTGTTCATAAATCGTAAATAATAATCAATTGTTTATTAATTCTTTTCAAATAAATTGTGTTATTATATGTATCTAAAACAATCTCCTCAAGAATTATGCTTTGTTATGCAAAAGGAATTTAATAACAGCAACAACCATTTTTATTATTTACTTGATCATATCGGATTGTACTTATAAACAATCGTAACATACTAATGTTAGATACCAACTTATTATTAGACATTTTATTTTTATTGCACAATCTTGGGAACAGTTATAAGCCCCTCTTTTTTCGCAACATTTTGAATACTGTAATAGAAATTATAAGTCTATCTTCCTCTATTCAAAGTCAAAGTAAAAAAAAAAATATTTCAGTTAAATCAGGAAGGCAATAAGAAGGTCAACAAAAATTTGAAAAAAAAATGAATCATTTTGCTTCTATGGACGAACGAACAAGAAACTCCATAGGATAGTCTTTTTCAATCAGGTTCACAATACAATTCTTTAGTTGCATAGTTTTGTTATTATTACGGAACTATAGGAAAGCAATGTAGTTTATATTATAGATGTTACTAAAACGATTTTCTGCTTCCTACGCCATTATTATTTAGTACAGCCATATTTTATAGAGTTTATTATAGTTAAAGGGCTTTAGATAGAAAATTGTTTGCTGTTTCATAGTTTATGGTTTGGACGATAGGGGCCGCTAAGTAAAGTTTTGTACGCAGAGAAGATGGTTTCATTCTTTAAAAATATGTATATTGGTCATGTGTTTTATCTTATAATCTTATCTTATACTTATACTTCTACTTCTATAAAGAGGAAGTGTTTGTTTTTTTGTTTGTTTGTTTGAACGCGCTAATCTCCGTAACTACAAGTCTGATTTGAATAATTCTTTTTGTGTTGGATAGCGCATTTATCGATGATGGCTATAGGCTATAAAACATCACGCTACGGCCTATAGGAGATGAGCAGAACGTGTGAAACCGCGCGGAAGTAGCTAGTGTTTTATATTAGTAGATGCTTATTGAAGAAGGCTAATCACATCTTGTTTCAACCATTTATTAAACAGTTTTGCATAACAACCAAAAATTAAGATGGCAAGTAAGAAATATCTGATGTAAGATATCATTTAGTTCATTTTAAGGTAATGTATTCAATTCCCACGGTCTTTTATTCTCGATTATATCAAATCGAACCGTAAGTAAAGCCATTACATTACACCGAAAACTAATGACCATTGTGTATTCACTCCAAACGCCATTAGAAATGATACAGTATTAATTCTAACGCTCCACTTATCTCTAATAGAGCAATTTGAATCTATAGTCGACTAACGACCTTATTCTTTACGTGTTAAGGTCTTAAAGAACCGTCAAAACAATGTTTTTTTGATCTTTCTCACGTAACTTTCTAGGTTGTGAGAATGTTATGTTTTGCGAATATCTTAGTGGCTTGGTGTTGACTGAGGAACTTGCTATTATAAACGTTGCTATTGTTTTCCTTGGAATTTTATAGCCATTGTTAGATCTACTGGTGGTCTATTTAATGAAGATTATGGATCTATTTGTAGTTCTAACTCGAGTCTATGGTGTATGAAACTTATAAGAATAGGGTAGATAACTAATTTTTTATTTCAATGTCCGTCTGGTAGATTATTTTAAAACATTAGGCATGTATTTTTATTTTTTACGGAAAGGAATACTTTCGACGATATATTGATTTGAAATATTGCGTAACGTCACTTCTATGTACATTTTATACGTAATAATGACGTTTTAGCCCCCACTCCTAAACTTGTATTCGTTATATCTAAGTTACATTATATTATACACAACAAAATAAAAAAAATACGTGTATAATATTTTTTCATTACCTAACTGACGGACTAATTACATTTTTACTTTTCATACCCTGTCATCATCCCTATTCTCCTAAAATCAGTGTTTTCATTTTATTTGTCTTCTGCTGGATCTTGTAATGTTACCTCGATCACAACAATTTCTAGACTCATAAGAGTGAATGACTATAAGCTAGTGCCCTGTGGTGCCCAATACTTCCAGCAGTTGTTTTATGCCAAAAAGTTTGTGTCAAATCTATCTATCTCTTGATAAATGTTCTGTAACACTGTATAATTACGTATCTACTTTCATAGTGTCGTGTGATTCTCGCCTCATTCATGTGATTGTAGTCCAATAAACGATGGCTTCCTCCTTTCGTGATCTGCCGTGCTCTTACGTAAACTGAGAGTACAGTGCGTTGCCCTTTTAATGTTATAAATTATAATATTGTAGACTACCTCGTTGGCCAAGTGGTCGCAAGTGCGACTGCCAGGCATGGGGTCTCGGATTCGATTCCCGGGTCAGGCAAATGTGCCCGGTATATGGCAATAGACTCACCCCCTATTACATGGGACTCATAACATAAATAGTGAAAAATGGGTGTTACTGCCACATTGAATGTGTGTGGCATTAAGTGCCGTAATGTACATGTCTGCCTACCGCTTCAGGGATAAAAGGCGTAACGTTACGTTATTATAATATTAATATTGTATTAATAGAAACTAAGATTTAACAACAAGCTGGTGTACGTTTACAATTGGGTAAAATGGAACGATAATAAACTATTACAATAAAAATAAAAAATCAATCCCTATTAAAATAAAAAATCAAATTGAAATCAAAATCTTCAAATTGAAGCTTTCATTGTTCATTTACTGATCTTTATTTTTAGACTTAGTTTATCACTCAAAAATCTACCCTGACCTATAACAGCTGATTCTTAATACAAGATCAGCCAAGTGACCGCTATGCGGGTCATTTACTTAAAGACTATAAACAAAAGGTCACTGCGGCCAAGACGAGATGAACCGAGGTACAGTTACCAATAGAATGCACATGTTTATGCAAACGACCGCAGACCACACCTGTACATTCACCGTTACCCGAATTCCTCAATATGTGGGAAAGTGACTTTACTACGCGACTGTACCTTACCTATGAACATTGTTACACGCATTTTTGCAATTATTCCGCTACGCAAATAGATTTTGCAAACTTAGTTTTGCGAATTTTGGGAGGTAACCAAAAGTTTCTCGTGAAGGGTCTAAACGTTGAAAAGAATTCAGAGGACGTCCAGACGAGGCTCATGACGGAAAATCCCTTTTCGGCCTATAGCGATATTCTCTATAGGTCTGCTTCTGAGCTATCAAAATGTTATGATCGCGATTCACAGACCTTTATGAACTACCCATTCTGATATTGAAACACCGCATACCGGAGTAAACTGAATCATTGTTTATCTATAGCATTAGTTATAAACAATTACAATAATAAATACCAAAACATCGTTAACAAAACAAATACAAACAATTGAATGTCTTTATACAGAAATTTTATAAAACCCCAAGAAGCATGAACTGAATGCGGTATACTGTAGCTAATATGTGCCAAATCGTCCACTAAGTGCCACTGAGGATGGAAAGCCACGGGGACCGCGACTCCAGGAGCTCCAGGGCGAGCGACTCGCCTGGAGACACCATGAACGATGTCTACGCTGCGTGGCGTGAGTCTCCCCCTCAAAAATTCAAGAGTCTTTGCACATAACGTTTTTTATAGCACCGTTTTTGATCAACGTCTTCAATACGTTTGTTTTCCAACGCGTTTGCAGTGGTACAAGTGTCATATTATTCAAAAATATAACATTGAGAACTTCACGTTTGCTAGGCATCCGGCTTACATTTAATGCGCGTAAAACGTCATGTGCAAAGCCTCTTTATCTTTGGCACCATTGTAGCTAGTGTCTGGCACTGATTCGTGAATCACTTTTTGTATTTCTGGTTTTCTATCATAACGTTTTTCATGCTGTTATTAGACTAACGTGTCTACTGGGAAACTATCCTGGGAAAGTAGTTGGTAATTCTTTAACACTTGTTTTCTGTGAACATACAATCGTCCCGGCTATCATTAGCTATTCATATTATGAGCTAAAACAATGATACATATTTTCTCAGAATAAAACAATAACTGACGACGAAGAATTGTCACATGAACTTCGTTAGATGTCCTAGAATCGACCTAGACCCACATGTTATAAATTCATTATGTAACAATCATGTGCAAATACAATCGAACAAGTTGGAAACAGCTATAAATAAACAAAACAAGTCGTTGCAAACGACTACCGATAGCTCTCTACCGTGACGTGGTGCACAATAACATACGACGTTATTAACGCTGCTCCAATTAACGTTTACACGTACGGCATAAAGTCCATATTGCTTTGTAGTGTGCATTTTTTGTTAGCACACTCGTTTAGACTATTGTTCGGGACACAATAGTGTGTCAACTAAGGAGCTGAATTTGCAAACCAATTCTGTTGTAGCCGCCATTGCTACATAATGTTGTGATTGGTCAGCGTTGGCTAACAATCGAGAAGTAATGATAAAGTCATCAACACTTATCTTCTTTTGACTTTCGTAAGATTTCGCGAACATCTTTATGTTTATCGGTCACCTTGTTACCTTCTATTTCCTTATCAAGTTAAATCTGTAATCTCTTGTCAAAAACTTCTTTTCAATTCTATCAATGAATGATTAGTCTATCGATTCTTTAGAAACATTATTCAATACTTCCTATTGACGTAAGTAATTGCTAACATAATTAGTCTTGGCGTTACTGCAATCAATATTAAGAAACTCATCACATTCACGAATGTATTGGAGTTACATCGATGTGTGAAAGCAATGGTAATTGCCGATAGTAAACCCGTAATGAATTTGCCGTCGATGTTATAAAGAATTACGAGTTGCAATATAAATTGTTTTGTAAATTAATTGATTTCTTCGATTTAATTCATTGAAGTAATGTTTATTGCAGAATATTAATAGTTCTAAACACTTTCTATCTTTACAAATGCGTTAGTCATAACTTTGGTCTACATCCGTGTTTCATCATACACTGATATAAATGTACCGCTTACAGCACATAAAGCTACCCCTTTAATAGATTTTGAACTTAATTGTCTTATATTTACAAAACTAAATCCTACGCCACGTTTGCCTGTCTATCCGAAATTCTTGGTGAGCATAAATTTGTGCAGTATGCATCAGAGGGTAAAGTTGAAATGTGTAATTCGTGAAACCAAAGTTGCGGACAGAGATCGTAACGAACTCTGAATTCTATGGTACCTATTGCAATGCATAGGTCATCAATACGTGATATAAAATACTAAATAATATTTTGTTTTCAATTTCAGATGAGATGCTAGAAGGTGAGGGTGCGGGGCTGGCAGCCAGGGTTGCTGAGCTGGAGGTGCGGTGTGCTCGTCAGGCCGAGGAGCTGCTATGTCTCCGGTCAACCCTTGCTGATGCCCTGAGGAGGCTCAACGCTCTCGAGGGTCGAGCCCCCACCGCACCCAGCGCGGGACAGAGAAATGGTGCTTATTCTGGTACATACTTTTTTTGTATTTGATGATATCTATCTTTAAAGGGTTTCATAAGCATAAAGGTTGATGCTAGAAATATTATAGGTATAAAATTGTAGATTTTAAATCCCGATTCTCAGTAAAAAGCACTGATTAAAAGATTTGTCTTAACTGTAAGTCAATCGAACTTTAGCCTCGTTAAAAACATGGTTTTAGGATTATCGGTCAATAGTTACTAGTTAATTAAGTATATTGCTCTTATAAACAACTAAACAGGCGATATATCAATATAGCAATAAATAATTTTTTACCATAAAAATAACAGTAAAAGAAAAAAATAACGATGTTTGTTTACGAAACTAGACGTAAAGCTTGACTAATAGGTACAAAGCAGACGGCCATTTGTTTTTTGATATTATCATTAAATGAACTGCGAATTCATTGTTTTATAATATTTATCAAGGTGCTGTAACTGTACGGGACAGTTCTTATTTTCCTTCACTTCCATGCATCTGGGCATATAATTGTACATTGATTAAAGTAATAAATAATTAGGCTCACCCCCTATTACATGGGGCTCCCAACATAAATAGTGAAAAGTTACATTGTATAATGGCATTAAGTGCCGTAATGTGTACCTCTGCCTACCCCTTCGGGGATAAAAGGCGGGATGTTATGTTATGTTATGATTAAAGTGTACCTCTTACACGCCCAAAAATTCTGACATTAGTATCGTTTACTAACTGATAAAGAGTAGATATTGAAAAAACTCCATACAAAATTCATTATTACAACATAAACCGTATAAACCTATATCAATATTTGCGAAACATTATCCTTTCACTGTTGGCTATAGTTTTTATATTTAATGTACTAAATTAATAGTTACATGACCTGGCCACTAGTACCTACATTAAACTAGTCTTTTATAATATATCATTCGGTTTTTTTTTTTTTTTTTTTAAGGGGGAAAATCATCGAATGACTGCTCCCGCCTGGGTGAGGCGGAAGGGAGTGTCAGACTCTTACTGACTAAAAACCACCCCGTTCCTTCTCCTGCACGTCGAGCCGGAGCCCCGGTTACCCGTTAGGTTCTCCGCGACCCCGAATCGGCATCGGCCCTATTGGGCCCCATCTGTGGTGGTCTGATGGCTCTTTGAGGCGCGCGCGGAACGCTACGCGCCGTACGCTCGGGTCTGTTTCTGGTCGGACGGGGAGCCACCCATGCTCGCCGTCCGCAGGCCCGCGCTTACGGTGGCCGGAGATCGTCCCGCGATCCCCGACGCCCGGTGTGTCCTTCGCGATGGCTGGGTTGCGAGGAGGCAGCGCTTCGCTGCCTCACGCGTCCCGCCTCCTCCTTAGCTAGCATGACTGCTTCGCAAAAGGAGGAGACGGCATCCCAGTCCCCCTCGCTCCGCATCATGGCCTGCACTAGGCCCGGACGCGAGAGGTCGCCATCGCCGATCACTTCCCTGAGGGCACGGCGGTGCTCAGCCCACGCAGGGCATTCCGCTACGGTGTGTTCCACCGTGTCCTCAGGGCGGTCCTCGCAGTGATGACACCCGGGCGTTTCCTCCCGCCCCATCAGACACAGGTACCTCCCGAAACTTCCATGTCCGGCGAGGACCTGTGTCAGGCGGTAGGTGAGGACGCCGTAGCATCTCTCAAGCCACTCCTCAAAGAGGGGACTTACCGCTGCAATGGCAGCGAGCCCAATATCATTCGGTTGACGTGGACCGATTATGTTATTAGACGTAGCACAGTGTTAATATGGTACAAAAGAATTAATATATTATTAGTATATATTAATTCTTTTACTTAGTATCAGAAATTCAGTGCATAGCTAGCTTAAGTAAGAAAACGGTGTTAATATTTTTGGAAAATTCTGATGCTCTAAAGACTGTTCCGGTAGGAATCACGCACAAATCTAACAACCAAGTAGTATCAAGTTACATACTATAAAACTTCTTAACAACTTTGACATTATTTAGTTCCCAAATTGATATAAATCTTCAAATCACCTTCACCTTATTAAGCAAGTCTTTCTAGTTCATCGAGCAATCGTTTGAGAACAAGCTCTCTGATTCACTATCCCACGGAAGTGATACATCTAAATGAGCATCTTATAGTGAACCACTATATTATAATTATAGGAAATCATGCTAATTTCCTTGATTAAAGTTATTAATTAATTTCCACATACGCTTTGTAAGTAAATTAGGGGCGTGTGCTCTTTCTACGCGGATGTTTATGATGACATTTTGCTCGGAAATGACCTAGGTTTTTTATCATAAAGCCTAGGCATGAAAATTAAAAATCAATCTTCATGTTTCTCAAGTTATTACACTGCGCACTGCTTAATCCGTGAAGGTCGTTAGTAAGTTAAAGCTAGATTAAAATAATATAGATTCTATTTATAAGTTTTAGTAAGAAATATATTATTGTGTGTGGAAGTTACCGCCATTATTATAATTAACCTAGTCCTACTAATAAAGTACTTAGCATTGGGAATTCTAATAAAATAAAAGTTCGATTACTTAATTACAATAGTTCATTTTGTTTTTTGATAATAGAAAGAAATAAAAATCGATTGGACATCAATTTCTCTAAACAGTACTGCATTATATGAAACAAACTGAACTAGAGTTATTAGTATAGTTAGTATTACCGACTGGATGACAAATAAAATTAGATATAAGTATATAGAAATATCTTTATCTTAATAACGTCTTATTTTCTTTATTTCCAGGTTCTACGGGTACCCCGACGAGGGAGCTCCGACTGAAGCAGCCTTCGTACCGGGAGACTGCCAAGAGGACCTCCAGCTACGGATCCAATATATCCTCACTACCACAAAGGTAATTACTACTAATTATTTCTACTATTGATTAAAAATGCACAATAATACAGATAACAAACAGTTTATTACTTCATAGGTTTACTAATTATACGTAGAATGTACATGTAACAGACTATGTCTCGCTGTAGAACCCAAATAATTATAATAATATTTAATACACTGACAATTTCAAATTAGTCAAATAATTTTTAATCTCTTGATCTATGAATTAATTAGCAGGCAAACATTATTAGTAGTAGGTACTTATTTAAAATTTGTAATGGACCTGTAATGTCACAGTCTATCACACACCTCTGAATTATAACCAAAGTCATTAAACCATGAAATCAACTAACATAAACGTCTTACTCCACAGACGCGGACCTCAGCACCAATCAACGGGTTCCCTGCAGTCGGACTCACCAGCATCTTCCTCATCTCTATCACCAGCTCCATCACCCTCGCCCCGCGCCACACCTGCACCACACCATGCACCGTTACAACCTTACAGGTATAAATCATACAACACTGGAATAACTATCTTTATTACTGTAAACTGTTAGAGTCGATGGTTTGAAAGCCTCACAGAAATATTTGAATTATTTGAACTACTTAATACTTCTTAGAAGTGAACTGCCTGATGCATGAGGTTTCGCATATATGACCAATAAGGTCAAATTGTCTATTTAAAGTTATCTTTGTAGTAATTATTAATTATACATGAAGAAAACTAATTAAAAGGTCGTATCATAACTTCTAAAAGTTGAAGTCTAGAAAGTAAGTTGATAATGAGTTGCCATGAATATCACGCTCAGTTTTGCCAAACAAAAAAAGTTTTTATTGACAAACTCATAGCCATTCCACCTTACACAAAATTACAGCTCCTTCAATCCCACTTTCTTTAAAATCATAATAAAAACATTTAAGAATCAGTAAGTTGATGATTGAGTTGTTGTTAGAAATATCTCTAGTATTAATGAGTAGAAGCTATACTCAGTAGCTAAATGTTTCAAGAGAGCACAGCAACTAGAACTTAGCTGGACTAGCCACTTACTTCTCAAGTCTTAATACCATAGAGTAGCCTGGCGGCGCTAACCTTTAGCGTTGATTCACCCCCGTGCTTGTAATCACGTTGCTCCTGACCTCTATCCGGTCGTGTCGGTGTACCGACTCATCGGGTTAAGAGAGTGAGGGAATAGAGAGTGCAGCTATGTTCGCGTGCTCACTTGTGCACTATGATATCTCTTACGTAGTGGGCTAGTCTAGTTAGATACACTGGCCACCATGATTCGTCTAGGCTTTATTATTTACTTAAGTAGTCTAGCGAGCTAGTATGGTAGTGATATCGTTGGCATCTAGATCACGAAACAACTCTACGTCCAGCAACCAGAGCGTCTCGCCCGGGGTCAACAACCTCACCAAGCGCTGGAACTCCACCGGAGACTTCAACGCCCAGGGACTGCTGCCTAGCACTAGGTATGTGTATGTCACTATGCCGCCTCGGAGTAAGTGCTTTCATGATAGAATTTTTGAGAAGACTGCAACAATAAAAAGAGGTAAACCTTCCATGATATCAAAAGGAAATCTTCAGAACTTCGCCTGGCTTTATAACTGATTCAGCTAAAATGATGGGCTGATTCAGTGAATTCGGAGTGGTTGCTGAACACACTTTGTCAAAATATTATAAGTGATCATTCCTTCGTCTAAAATGGAATCAGGCACCTAATACAATATTAATCGAATAATTTGAGGCCTAAAATTATCAGTTGTATAAACACCACCACGCTTACTTCGAGGCTTCAAATCAAACACGCTTAAAATATTTCATTTATTTGTTCTTTATTTTGCACACAATTAGTTGGTCCAGTATCTGTAACTCTACACTAGCGCCAATTTCAATGCAATGTGTCAAACTCTTGCTATCACAATGGGGGCCATCGTTTTCGTTCACCAGATGGCGATAAAAGCGCAATGTCCCGTTTGTACAATTATTTTAGTTATCAAAAATGTAATGTCCAATAACTTGACATTACCTACTTATTAATTAAAAAATACTGTTTACTCGCATGAATCTTTCAAAAAAAGCTCAAACCGTCGCGTACTCTGCTGGAAGGTTTGACTTAAAACTAGTAGGGTACTAGAGTATTTTCTCGAATGGTTCATTCACGTGATCAAGCCATATTTTTCAACTCATTTCGTGTATCCCACGATGAACATGTCAATATTTTTTTTATTGAGACTAGTGCTCACTGGCGCCATTTGCGAGAAACTGTCACGACAGCCCTCATTCCTTATTTTCCTGTAATGTCTAATTGTTTTTTGTACTCTCTCTAGATTCACTACAACAAAGTCGTTGCTAAACTTATATTCTAAGCCGTCACAAAATGGACCGATTCTGAAACATGGGTAAGTTAGTTATCGTTCACGTTGGATGGTGGCGGGCTCGTAACACTATTGGGACTAACTTGAATGAGTTTGGAGTTTTATATTAAGGTTCTGGTGATATGGTTTGAGGCTTGAGTTACAAATAACCAAAGAGTGATATTAAGAGTAACATTAGATCTAAGTGCATCATTATGGTCGCTTAATAAGAATATCGAATGGTTAATGTTTGTTTAAGATGGAATTGTAAAGTGTAGTAAGCATGCTAGAAAATATTCACCAACGAAATAAACTGCGTGTGTACTTACTGTTACTTTATTGTTTAATGCCTTACCAAACTTTTTCAAAAAGCATTTTCATATTCAATATTCTTTTCTTTGCCTTAAATGAGAAATTATCGACGGAAAACCCAACATCGGTCATACGTCGGAACAAGACTAAACTTAAATATTTGTTAAACTACGTCCAATCAAATACTCATAGGAGGTAATCAGTAATCATTAGTGGAGACTGGTGCAAAAACCAACAATTACAGGTTATTTAGAGTTGACGTAACAGATGCTTCTCTGCTGGAGATAAATAATGGATGACCTTGAGGTCTATTGTTCTGTGACGATACATTACGTATGTGTATGTATCTAGGTGTACCTACATGTTTAATCGATGGTGTAATGTTTTATTTTTTATATACGTAATATATTTGACATACTTTTTTAAAAAGAGTAACGAATGGAGTTTCTTGCTCGTTCTTCTCTATTCGAATCCACATTTTGGAATGAGCACCTAGCTTCACCTAGTTTCACTGACTGACTGACTGACACTGACAGACTATTATTTATTTTGTATTTGTTGACCTTTCAAAAGTAGGTACCAAACTATGGTTTAATTGAAATAAATGCTTTGACTTTGACTTTGATGGGCTGACGTTTGACCACTATCTCTCGCCTGGTGGTAAGCGTGTAACTTAAACTGTTTTCTTGGAAGTACAATTTGCGAAAAATACTTAGTTACGATTAGTATTTAATTTAAGTCTACTGATACATACTCGTATCAGCCATCAATCATTTACAAAATCAATAACTCCGCAATCAGTTAAACATTGTTACAACGCCAGTCGGCTGTGCTGTAAAAGTGCACTTACGTTACAGACAGTACAGACCCTTTTCCATTTATTTTACTAATACCATTATATAGCATGTAAATAGCTAGTATATAGCGAAACACTAAACACAACTCTAATTCCCAACTGTTTATTTGTACTCATTAAGTCGAGCCACAAACTGCAGTTAAAGCAACAATTTAATGCATTTCTTACCTACCAACCGTATGTATTTCTTATTAGTACGATCGCAAAGAATCTTGATATTTACATAGAAGTACATTGACAGGTTCGCATGGTAATTTGTATGGTCGGTAGAGGACAAAAACTGTGTATTGTGTAACATTGCCCACGCTAGCGCATCTGATTGCTCCGTAATGGACGTCCATCACATCATAGACTGTTAGTGTTGGGATTAATCTTGGCTAATGCCGAGGGCCGAGACATTAGTATGTCTAACTCGGCTTTGGGTAGACAATGTTCCATGTTATGTCATTCAGAATAAAGAATAAACTTCTGAGTTTGGTTTGATATTCTGGTTTGGATTTGGGGTTTGCTGATGTTGCCGTGTTAAATAATAATGAAGAAGATTAGGAAATTGCAAAAATCCACCTTAATAATCAAATTTAAAGAAGAGTTCTTCTTTGCCTTTAATTGGAAAGCATTTAAAGGTTTTCTATGTCTCTTAATTTTTTAGTCATACATATACCTACGTATACATCATATCATAAATATACATAATAATACATATTGTCTATTTTTTCTTCGATAAACAATTGAATGGTATAATTTGGGCCTACTAAACTAATCCTCAATTCGGCTTTAACACTTGATTTACTTCAATCCCTAATTGTCTATGTAGAAGAATGTATTGAATACAGTTCATAGAATAATAGAGGCACCTACTTAGATGATCGCGTGGGTGGCTCAAATATATCATTTTGTCATAGGAAGCTGCCAGCCACTGGGAAATTGATGAGGATTTTATTATATCCATCATTTAAATGTTAATCTAAGCCACCGTGTCGTTTAATAAAACTGATCCGTTTTTGGACACAAGCTGAAACTGTTTCTAAAGTGAATTAGTCATGGATTTGAGACAAATATTGTTATGTATTTTGTTGTAAAATTGAGCTATTCGAAGTTAAAGATTGGAAAATAAGTTTGGGGCTTAGGATTTTTGTTAGACAATTGACAGAAATATTTTTAGCATATTTATGTATACATAATAAATAGGTATTAAAATTAATAGGTAAATAAAATACCTATCTTTAACTATCATTTAATGTGAATATTAAACAGTTTAAACTATTATTTTTATTAGATCATAATTTCATATTAAATTAAATAAGTAGTTATTGACCTGATACCTAAGTACTTAAGGATATTTAAGAATAATAGTAATTTTCCTCTCATTTGCTTATTTTCCATTTATTCCATTTCTAATTGAGTCTTAGTATATGTGCTATACTCTCTCTTTTATAAGACAAAATTATCTTTCTAAAAAACTTCCTCAGTTGTAAACAGTTTAAAAATAAAACTTATAGGTGGCGTCTAATATAATGAATGATGTTTGACCTTGATCTAGACACAGCCACAGGAACAATTGTGTCCATTATCTAGTCAACAACATCACCTGTAAAATGATAATATCCTTAAATCCAACTAAACGTCACCGCTGACATTGTTCAATCATGATGATGACTCACTACAGTCATAGAAGTATTCGCGAAACCCGTACAATAATACTATAGTCATAAAGGCAAATACTCATTGCTTCAATTACAATGCTGTATATTCCATTAAAGTAGAAATGAACAGTACATAAAACTCAGTAATGGAAATGGAACAATTCCTGCGATTCAAGCAGCAAACTTGAAACTAACTTCATGGTTAGCTCATTCTTCACCGCACGCAGTCTGGCTAAGATATTCTTGGCAGCCGGCTGTATAAATCGCGACCGTGCCTTGCATACCGGTTTTTAAAAAGTTCGTGGCCGTATACTCGATATCCTTTGCCTTATTTGACTTTAAAAAAAAGTTTTACTGACAGATATTTTGGCGCCATGGAAGAAGGGTAAAAATCACTACCTATTACTTTATTCTTCTGTTTAAATTATATTAATGTTTACAGTTATTATTGACTAGATGTTGTCCTTAAAAACACCGGCACATTTTCTTTCCCTTTTAATTAAATAAATTAGAATAAATTGATTTGTCATTACAAACATTAGTTTGCCGGTTGCTCACTTAAATAGATTACTTCAGCAATTTGTTAAATTTGTTTGTAAATAGTACAGCTGTACGATATGTAGGCTTAGTACATTCACTGATCTTATCAGTGAGCGTTAATGATCATTATATTATGTGTATAAAAGCATAACATATGTGTATTTTATTTTAGATTATTTAGTGTCGTGTAGTTGGACACTGGCTTTCTGCGCGGGTGGCTATAATATATTTTTGTTAATAGTGGGCCGATGCTAAACGCATCTTGGAAGTAACAATGTCATTCACCTCGATGTAAGTTCGCTTGGGATTTTTTGCGAATTCAGGCTTTTGTGTGTTTGCGGAGCGGTGACTTCTTCTTTGCTAAAATAATGCTTCAACTAATTTAATAAACTTATGGTGGGCGGCGCTTCTGATCATAGTCTAGATATCATCGGTATGAGGATTTGGCGTTTTCTTCACATTTCTATTTATTTCTCAATCTACTCTAGCTACTCTTCAGCTTCTCAGACAGCCATTGACTGAAGAATTATATTCATAAACTATATTGTTGGCTAGCAAAGATTCATAAAATAAATATTTTTTCCCCTACATTACAATATTTCCCTGTTCTCTCATTTTTCCTTTATGGTCTAGATATTAAAATATATTTACTACATTTAAGTTCTTATTACACATCAAGTAAAATGCTCTTAATCTGTATGTAAAGTTCTGACCTCATTAATTTAATATTAAAATAGGTGATATTACGGAAATATGGAAAATAAATTGCGTATAGAATCAATTCCCTATTAGACTTAATTAAAAGGAACACACTTTATTTCTAATTCAGAAAGATAAGCCCTGTTGACAAGCCCTAATATTAATGTCGTCATTTGAAAATTAATTTAAAAGAACAGGTCTTGGTCATCATGTGTTACTTACTGTATGTGTATTCTAATTATTTACTAACATATTGCACTTAGGTATATATATATATCTCACATTAACATATTTTATAATTAATAATTAATTACGGCATTTGACTAACCAATTAGTGTTTGTTTACGTCTTAGTTTTAAGAATTCACGTTTCACAGAAATTGTTGGTTTGTACGTTTTTTCCTGTAATATTACAACAATTGTATTTCTGGAAAGCAAGTTATAACAAACATGAATCAGCCCTTTACACAAAATTTGTTGTACCTACTTACTGTACCTCCAATAAGCCTGAATTTTTCACTTTTTTAAATATTTGAAGTCTCAAAAATTCTGCAGAGTGAAGTTGCTTTAGTTGTGAATTTTATCTACAAACATGCTCATTTCTTATCACTCTTGCAATCGGCTTATTTTGTCACCCAAAATAAGATGGTTCTCGATACATTACCTACATCTTTTTGTCTTTTATAAAGTCGAAAATGACAACAAAATACCATTTGCTTAAAAATACCTACTTAAGTTTCAATGAAGAAGTTATAAAAGAGTAAAAATGTTACCTTTGTTTCAAACTTTTGCCTGGATTTAATCATTGGAAGGTTCATTGAACCGTAAAGCCTGACCCCTTTCCTCAACTGGCTCTCGACAGTATGATTCAAATGTCCAGGTGCTATGAGCAGGTGTCCAGTCTCCTCGTTAGCCCTCCTATCCCATACAAATGATCAAACATGGTCATTACTTTTTGCCATGGATATTAATTATGTTGCTCTATACTCTAATCCAGTACTGGATTCATTATCTAGCAAGAATAACAATTGCTACGAAAGTACAAACCGGGTCGGGCGGGTCTCCTTAGCCCATCTTTCCACTTCCAAAGCAATTATTCATTTAAACTTATAAAATTGAGACTCTTTGCGTGTTGAATCCTCCACTGCTCCAATTCATGTACTAATTGAAAGCAGTAGACAAACAAACAAACAAACAAACAAAGCATGAAATGGTACATCTTCTCAAAGTCGTAATACTAAATACATAATGATCATTCGCCATCTTTGCAGCACCCACACATGTCAGTACAACGAGGAAGATGGTACGATGCGCATGTACCTGCGAGGCCGGCCTGTGGTGCTGTATGCTCCTAGTGAACATGAAGGCCTGGACCCTGCGAAAGTCGCTCCACCACCACAGAGCAAATTGAAGCTGGAATGGGCCTATGGATACAGGTGAGGCTTGTATGAAATAACATTTTACAAGTTGGGAAAAGGAAGGACACTCCGACCAAGTGAAGTGGTCATGCCTAGCAAACTCATCTATGGATTCTTATCGTCGATCTTCGTCGACGCAACTTTTAATACATTTTGTTCAGACATTTTAACCAGGTTTCAAGCTGTCAAACATCATAAATATCACAATTTTAATCTACATATTAGGTCCCTATCCCCCTAGTAATAACATATCATAAATATTCCACAAATACCACAAAACTTTCCTGTTGAATAATAAACGAACCTACCTCATGCCAGACGCTATCGACCGCTGGCCTTCCAAGGTCAAAGATATTCTGATAACAACTCCATTTATTTATATTTTTATAATATAGTTATAATCATAATGGACACAGGACAGGTAGGAATATGTCATAGGAAAAACAACCTTATTGAAATAAAAATAAACCGCTTTCTAGGACATCATGTCCTTATGTTAGTTGTTATTTCTTTGTGACACGATGTCATACAATAGATACGATCTAGACAAATAAATTGTTCAAATAATTGAGACATAAATAGAAAAATAACTGTTGCGTTATAAAATTCATGGTAAAAGGAAAATTATCGATGTTGTACAAACACTATTATCGATAGTCATACAGTTTTGTTAGATAACATTGTAACTCTTTACATATATGGTGTCAACTTTTCCCTATATATTGTTCCATAAATAAAGACAAATGCATTTGCAAAATAGGTGGGTTGTCATAGTCATTTGTTCTATCAGTCAGTCCGGCTATCTTGTCATAGTCAAATGTATGTACATATTTATTTCAATGTCCAACAGTCTGACTGAATCGTTAAAAAGCATTGATTAGACTATTCATTTATAGGAGAACGAACAGAAAACTTCATAGATGTCATAAAAAACTCTTGTTACTACAGTTTCTAAATGTTTTACAGAAACCAATCTTGTGTCAACTAAGTACTCTGAATGATCGGTCGTAAACCGATTATCAGAAACTGCGCATAATCTTAGTTGTATCGGAGAAATCATGGGCTCGCGAGCTATTTACAACAATTAACGCTTGGCCAGCCAAGCTTGGCGAAACAATTATACAGATCTTTGTTAATAATGGAAGAAAGAAAGTGTTATGAATAACATTTCTCTTCAAATTGTTGTCAACAGCTCAAGTAGCTATTGCTTAAAAACATTACATCACCCTCTTTGTCTTAATCTCCAGGATTGGCCAGTAAGATCGCACTTAAGGTTCAGGTTTATTAGAGAGAGCTGCTGCACGGTCTCTGTTAAATGTGTAGTCCCATAGTTGGTTCTTACATTTCCTGCTGCAAAAGTAGGCATAGTGCCTATAATACTTGAGGCAGACAGACATTAGGTGACCTCAAATGTAATAACTACGACCTTATACCCTGTAATGAATATGTCGCGGAGAACCTAACGGGTAACCGGGGCTCTGACTCGACGTGCAGGAGAAGGAACGGGGTGGTTTTTAGTCAATAAGAGTCTGACACTCCCTTCCGCCTCACCCAGGCGGGAGCAGACATTCAATGATTTTCCCCCCTTAAAAAAAAGTCTAATGAATATTTATTGAGTAATTATAATAACAAAGGCGTAGCTTAGAGTTAATACTAATATAATTTATTCGTCGCAATGAAGTAAAGAGTTACTTTAGGGAATTAAAACGAAACATGTCACTTGTGTTGTTTATCACCTGTGAGACTCCAATGTACTATTAATCTTTTAGACATGTCATTACTTAACCCATTCTTCGTCACTGTGCCAATTTGGGAACACGTAATAATTTAGATTAGAAACTTTGTATCATCACCAACAGCCTATAAGTGTCTACTGCTGAGCAAAGCCTCTTCTCACACTGAGAAGGTTTGAGCATTAATCACCACGCTTGCTCATTGCGGGTTGGCTTGCTTGCTCAACGCAGCAATTAGAAATTATAAGTCCAGGTTTCCTCACGATGTTTTCCTTCACCGTTTATCATTGGTATCTAAATAATCTTAGAAAGTACATATAACTCGGAAAAAGTCGCATTGATACTTGCCGTTGGTATGTTTCGAACCCCTCATGCATGAGAAGCGAGTGCCTTAACCTCCGGGACACCACGACGTTATTTATTATTAGTTATAGAAACTTTTTATTGTATAGTATAAATAATAATTAAACACATTTATACATAAATCTTTTGTTCGTTTTGATCATTATTGGGTTAATTCTTATACAAGGTCAATGTAATAAAGCTGAAAGAACTCGTTTCAATGAAAAGTTCAGCGAAGATTACCAAAACGGGTAACAATGTCAGAGTGTCAGCCATATGGTCAGATAATTGACCGACATTTTGTCAGGGTATAAGGTTACAAATTGCAGTCGAATGCAATATGCAATAATGCGAAGATTACATACATTTTTAATGCATCTATATGAGGGGCTAGCTACTTCGCGGTTTCACACGCTCTGCTCAGCTCCTATTGGTCGTAGCGTGATGTTTCATAGCCTATAGCCATCCTCGATAAATGCGCTATCCAACACAAAAATAATTATTTAAATCAGACTTGTAGTTACGGAGATTAGCCCGTTTAAACAAACAAACAAAAAAACAAGCTTTTCCACTTTATATAAAGTAAGTTCGTAATCTTTGTCAGAATTTCCTTAACAGACTATTATTTACTCTAATAGAATAAAATAGTAAACAATAGGCATCAAGAACTGCATTAAAGAAATTACTTCTTAGTTCTTATCAACACAATGCGACATAAAGCTACTAATACATTTCCGTAAGAGTTTGCCTCAAACGCTGGTAGCTCTATATTGAATGAAATTCATTGACCAATTTACCAATTGTGGGCCAAGTAATATCCGCCTACATGCGCTCCTAACTTGGAATTATTCCAAAACACGACACCGTACTGCAATCATCCCTTTTAATGACAGTAATTATGCGATGTCGTACCTTCGGAGTGTTTATCCAATTAGAACTAATTGGTGAACTGTTATAAGCTAATTTGGTTGTTAAAAGAGGTCTGTTTTGGTGATAATAAATTATTGAGTACTGAATCCGTTTATCTGTAGCCCGCAGAATAAAATGTCACCCACATTGGAAAGTATACATACATGTAGATAGCTCGCTTTCTAACATTCTGATTAATATTTTGTATACAACATGGACTACATTCGAGACTCAATTACTTCGACAAGCATTTTTGAAAGAATTCTTGTACCGAAACCAAATGACATCCTGGTAACAAACGAGCAGCCATCTTGACAACAATTACCAGGTGCAAAGTCTGTAGGAAATTGCGCTTTTGTCTTTAAAACATTGCAATATCCACCATTAACCCAGGCAGCTAACGCTTGGTCACCCAAGCTTTTCAACGAATTGAGTAATAGCTTCTGTGTCAGTAGCGGTATTTTAAATGTCTTACAAATGGTAGACATGGATTTTAGTAGGTTTTATATTGATCTAGGTTGACTGTGTATCTTCATTATTTTATTGAGTTGTATATAGCACATCGCCAAAATGGGATACTGCGCAATTGACCACCAACTCAAATGCCGAAAAAAGCCTTGAATTAGATTGGACCAAATTATTTGATAGACTTCAGCACTCAATTTAGATTATATTTCATAGAAACACTATGACTTTACCGACTGTTGAACCCACAAAAACAATTTATTTAAGCAGAACATTGAACTAATATGCTAGTTATAAAACACGCAACTTAATGTAGGACATGCTAGTAACACGAAATACTAAACCTACTCCAGTTGTGGCTCAAGGTTTGACCACTGCTAGCCACAAACTACACGATAATATATCGCAAACAAAGTATGTATGTAAATGATTGTATGGATCTTGTACCCAAATAAAGAAACATGGCTTATACGTCGACAAAAACACATACTGATATAACAGAGATAAATCATCTGCATTTAGTCGGAAAGTGCAGTAATGCTGCTACCAAATACCTAACCAAATTTGACTTAACATAATAATATACTTACCAATACTACCTATGGCTATGGCACATTAAATTATTTTCGATAGTGGTCCTTAGAGTCATAATTGGTGGTCATAGTCATGATTGGTGGAAGACCTCATATGAATATGCAAGTTGAATAAAATAATATTTACGTTCCACACTACAGACAGTGGGCATATTCATGTTAGTTCTTACTCTTACATCTATTGTCTACTCACCTTTAGTTTGCCTAAATACTTGTTTTACTACAAACCACGTCCAGTTCCGCGAGAGTACTCAAAGACTAGTTCCATTCAAGGCCACTGGCCACCAACAATCGGCTCGGTTAAAACAAAAACAACAATTGTACTGTAATCTTGGTGTTTGTTGTAATTTGTAATTATCGCAGTATCTGAGTCATTATAGTTTTTTACTAACTAATGTTGCTACACTGATCACCGTGTATTTTGAAATATTTTAAGACGATAATTGCAGTATATTTTTGAACAATAATGGGATTTTCTAGACAGGAATGAGCTGCATTTTTGGATTTTCTGATGATTCAATTAAGTCATCAAATGCTATCGCCTTTCCTTATTTACCACCGTTGTATTTACGCAGACACACCGCACCTTTCTCGCACAAAATATGAGTAAGTATGCCAAAATCCCCAAAAATTGCTCATACATTGGCTTTGGAGATGAAGGGAATTTTCTATTCTTGAAATTCTAAGCTACTTTGTAGTTATTCAATAGGAACCCAAAGAGCTTAAGAACAACAATTTGTTTTACTTGGAAATTGTTCAAAGTGTCTATTATGTCATGTCCAACAAGCAAATAAGGTTAGGCAAGTAGGTACCCTAAAAGATTCATGTAAAACCATTTCATAGACGTCCCTAGCTTATCTTCATTTTATTTAATCACCGATCGATAGTCCTTCAAGAACTGTCGATATTCTGGTGAATATTTTATACGCTCACTTTCAGTGGTGACCATCGTCTTGTCTATACAAATCGATAGCCAGGTGAGGTAGGCGAGCGGTGACTCATCTGCCGTTACACTTGACCACTCAACTGAGACCGCGACCTTGTATCAAAAAACCGACTGGGAATACTGAACTGCACTTTCCTATGACTCAGATGCAACGCTACTACGTTTATAGGGTAAAAAACTAGGAAATACTCGAAAAACTGTTGGCTGATTAGGTGTAAAGAATTGAGTAATTCAATGAATGGTTGTTGTTGTCATTTTATTGCTGTTAGGCGTTTGCATTTAGTAGCCAATTTGATGGTTTTACATCGATATCGTCGGAGCATATTACAAATTGCAATACACTGAAGTTGGCATTTGGCATAATATATCATTTTCAAGACTTGCATAGCTTTATTGATTTTACTCTTACTTTTGATGTGATCATTACAAGACTTCGCCGAATCGACTTTGAATTCTATGTGTCTTTATCCCAGAATATTGGTAGCCGTTTTACCATTTACGACATTCTTTCTTTTTAGGGGCAAGGACTGCCGCAGCAACCTGTACCTGCTGCCGACTGGTGAGATAGTGTACTTCGTGGCAGCCGTCGTGGTGCTGTTCAACGTGGAGGAGCAGTGCCAGCGCCACTACACCGGACACACTGACGACGTCAAGTGTCTGGCCATACACCCCAACAAGCTCATCGTGGCTAGTGGACAGTGTGCCGGACATGACCGGCTTGATGCCAGGGTAAGTGTGCTACGTTCTAGCTTGACATGACGAGCAGTTTGTATGTTAAGGTTTTTGGAGATAAAAATCATGGTAAACATCAAATAGGTCATTATTCCTAAAAACGTATCGGATGAACCTGTCCTTCAGTAGCACTAGCAGCATTCTCAGTATATATACTAGTTACAATCCCCGTCCGTCTGCAAAACGAGGGAGTTATCAGTTATGGCACTTTCACCTTTAAAGGTTTTTGCAGCTACGTGTTTCACCTAAATAAAGACGATAATCTTATTCCAGCCCCACATCCGCGTGTGGAACTCGGTGTCTCTGTCGACGCTGGCGGTGCTGGGCGCGGGGCACGTGGAGCGCGGCGTGCAGTGCGTGTCGTTCTCGCGCGCGGACGGGGGCGCGCTGCTCGCCGCCGTCGACGACGGGCCCGACCACACCATCTCCGTCTGGGACTGGCAGAGGCCGGACAAGGGACACTGTCTGGCTGAGACTAAGGTACGACACAGGAAAACAAATGCTTTTTACTACTTCATGCCAATTTTAAAATAACAAAAATAGTAACAACTTTACTTCTCTATCTTCTATCCGTTCATAAATGTCGTAAAGCAATATGCTTTATCTACAATATGATTTCAACCGTCTCAATAGCTAAGTAACTTTATTAATGGTGTCTTCAGCTTCTGATTATGAGCCCCCAGTGTGATCCGAAACTAGTTGGAGGTTCTCGAAAAATTGACGCGACGTCACTTAAATGTATAATTTGAACCATTCCAGTGCTCAGTAGACACGGTGGTAGCGTGCGAGTTCCACCCACTGGACCGCAACCAGATAGTGACGTGCGGTAAGAACCACATCGCGTTCTGGACGCTCGACCAGACCAACATGCTGTACAAGCGGATGGGGGTGTTTGAGACTCGGGACAAGCCTAAATACGTCACCTGCCTCGGGTTTAACCATAACGGTGAGTGAACAGGATAATCATATTTAGAGTTCGGTGAAATAAACACTCATAAATTAATATCATTTATTGATGTATGGAAGTGGTAGGCACAAAAGTTGTCATTGTTAGTTAGTGTATTGTATTACGAATATTAAAATACAACAATGGCTTTCAGACATGGGTACATATTGAATGTAAAGGTGCTCTCTCACAGGGACCATTCGCGTGTAATGTTTGTAAAACGTTACAGATCTGAGCATTACATCAGTGAAGATGGAGAACCGAGCATTACAATGCACACCTTGTAATGATACAATGTGTAATATCTTGATACAACTTGTAACATCGATGCCCCCCGCCCCTCGCTCGCCCGCTTCGTCTGACATCTTGCTATGAAATGCTCAAAGTTGAATCAATATGTTACAGTACACGTGAAGGCTCCTGGTGAGGGAGCACCTTTAAATCGACTTTTTAACAACGGTTTTCTTTTTAATGCCATGTAACACGAAATGAGTCTATTGCAGTACATTTACAGTCTATTGCAGTAAACTTTGTACTTAAGTGATACTTTTACGAATATACAATTTGGTAATCCAATCAAAACAGCTTGCAAGGCAGTTATTCTTATGCGACAAACGAAACAATATTCTGGAACAAACATCTAACATAAGCATATCATTCTAGGCGACGTCCTATCAGGCGACTCAAGCGGCAACATAGCAGTGTGGGCTCGTGGCACTAACACGGTCGCCAAACTGGTCCGCGGGGTCCATTCTGGCGCTGTATTCTCACTGTGCGCTCTAAAAGAAGGCGGGGTCCTCTCTGCTGGAGGCAAGGACGGTCGCCTTGTACTATTTGGGCCTGACTTGAGTCCCACGGGCCAGGAGGCCGCTATAGAAGGCCACTATGGAGGCATCAGGGTCGTTGCTGAAGGAAGAGGAGACCAGCTCTACGTTGGGACCACTAGGAACTGTATTCTGCATGGCGATATGCAACTTGGATTCTCGCCTGCTGTGCTTGGTGAGTTACTTTGGTATTTATTGTAGTTTTCAGTTGTTTTATTTTTAAAGTCGGTTTATTAGTTCTTCTTTGTCCCAGTTATATTGTTTTTTCGATACTTACATGCTAGGTTAAATACTTTTAGATAACTTTTCTTAAGACTAGCTGTAAAGCTTTAAAGCTAAAAACTTCAATTATGATGTTTTCATAGACAAATGGATAGGATACTAAATCAATGTCCCGTGGCAGGTCACGCGGACGAGGTGTGGGCGCTGGCGACGCACCCGACGCTGGCGCAGTTCGCGTCGGCCGGCTGGGACCGCCTGCTGCAGCTGTGGGACGGACTGTCGCACTGCACCGTCTGGAGCAAGGACATCGAGGTGGGACTACACGACACTTACTCACACTTCTTACACGCCCGTTTTCAATGATACCATTTTTTTCTGCAAATCTTTCATTCATTAAAACCATGAATTTACAAAAATTCAAACCTCAGACAATATTTAATCAGTTTCGACCAAAAATAAACTGAGCAAAGTTTCCATGATGTTTGCAGGAGCGAGCGCAATGCGTGGCGTGGTCGAGTGACGGCGGAGTGTTGGCCGTGGGCTGCCTCACTGGCAAGTGGCGCGTCTACGACCCGCACTCCAGGGACCTGCTGGCCGAGCATACCGACGGGTACTGTACCTCGATACATACTATACATATGTGCACTTGGCACATTAACATACAAAATGCTATGTTTATTTATTCGAGAATACTCGTCTAATTTCGATCCTTAACGACGAAGACTTATAATTATGAGTTGCATTGGCGATGAAAAGCTTCGCACAGCCCATTAATCAGGGCAAACACCAAACCATTAATTAACGTAAACGTATTCGAAAGATAGTCTATATAAGTAAAAATATAATATTTTCGACTTAACCATCTAAAACCAAATGTATAATGTATGTTCAATTTGACCGTTTACAGGAGTGAGCCAATCCAAACGATTCAGTACTCTCCGGACAACTCCATGGTAGCTCTAGGCTCTCGTGACAACTTCATCTACGTATACCGTGTCGAGGATAACGGGGCTCGGTACAGCAGACTTGGGAAGTGTCTTGTAAGTACATACACTATAATTAATGTTCTACTTATTGTATCTATTTAAATAAATGTTACCGATTAGTATTTAGTATACTTCAAAAACGTAGGTATAGGTACAACACTTTCAAGTTCTTCATGAGTTAAAATACCTATGTACTCTAGAAATAAATCAAATAAATTCATAGTAATGTTGTGTATTTTCTCAAGATTGTTGTTTGATAGTATAGCAATGTCTAATATGTATGTAATTTGTAATAACCATTTTACATATTATGTTTTCATGTCATTCATTGCTGTTGAAAACCTTGTATTTGTTACAGTTAAACAGTTCTCTAACTGTTTCCGTATATTTAAAAAAAATATTCTAGTATTTTATTTCTATTATTAATTAGTTACAACTGATAACCAATTACAGTAACAAAATATGTTTTTTACATGTAGATCCAGCTAGAAATTTACTTTCAAATCAGTGTAGACTTATTATTATTACCCACATTTTTAAGTATAGAGTTATTAACATTATTTTATTACTTTATTAGAGTAAAATAGTTATTAGAATATTGGTTGGTAAACTGTCTGACTAAATTTTAATGAGTAATTTTGTAACTTGTACAATTTCACGCGACTTTAGTGCACGGAGAAAAAGCGTAGAAGGGTAACATTACATTCATATTGCATGTTTAATATAAGCCATAGATCGCTTACAGGAATTAAACTTATACCTAGATCCCTCTTCCAGTCTGGAATGCTCTATAGATGTGATTGTCAGCGTAAAATAATGTACTATATTCTGCCAAGCTTCATACTAATACTATGCTTGTCCTTTTGGTCTCAAAACCAAGCTAATTTAAATTAAATACTGGAGAATTTTACCTAAACTGATGAAAAATCCAAATGTAAAAGCTCGCTTAGTTAATAAATAGAAATATTTATTATTTTCTTATAAAAATACTTAAATTCAAAGTTAGGTCTGAGTTTGTTTTGATGTTTCTTGTATCAGTCGTTAGTAGGAACTTGAAAACCTCATGTAAATTATTATTCACATACAAAACGTGCGAAAGTGCCAATCTATACCCTATCACCAAATTATAGTTGAGGATGTATGTTTGGATTTTTCAAATACTAAAACTTTATAACCCAATCAATTTCCCCCAGCAATATTTCCCTTCAAGCAAATGTACCTAAATATACAAAAGTAGTGCAAGGTAGTGCTATACATGTAATACCACCATGTTATACAGTGATATCTAAGACTTGTCATACAATATCCACAGGGCCACTCTAGCTACATAACTCACTTGGACTGGTCGGAGGATGGCCAGTACATCAGGAGCAACTCCGGAGATTATGAGCTGCTTTACTGTAAGTATTATATTATACAACAACATGGGCATTTTTCTAGTTTAACCTGTGATTTCTGGTAATTTACAGCAACAGCATATCTTACTATTTTATATGAAATCTAGGCAAGGCAAAACCTAAAAAACCGAGTGTATACACAGAGTTATTTACTGGTGAAAATTGCATGAAAACTCGTTTAGTAATTTTTGAGTGTATAGCGGATAGACAAACAGACCTAACCGGGGACGTCGTTTTGAATGAAAATCAAGTAGATAAATTATAGGAATATACTATTTTAACTGGAAACTTTACAATAACAACAATATTATCTATTTTCCACAGGGAACGCCACAACCTGTCGTCAGATTCCACAGCCGACATCAATGCGTGACGTGGTGTGGGCGACCAACACTTGTCCCATCACGTTCCAGACTATCGGGGTCTGGCCAGAGAACGCAGACGGCACTGATATTAATAGTTGCACCAGGTAAAGCACACATGACATTGTTTATTTACGTCTTATAGTCAGGTCGTGTCGGATAGGTAGATCTTCATATTATGGGACCAGAAAGTGTAGGTCCGTTTCGTATTTAATCCGTAAATGCAAGCGCTATACCAATTAATTCTCTAGACTATACCTGTCGACATATACCTAAGTATACTTAATCTATGTAATGAAGTAAGTATATTATTTATAATATCATTAATTTTACAGGTCCCACGACAATCGACTGGTGGCTACGGGTGACGATTTCGGTAAAGTGAAGCTTTATGCTTACCCAGTAACTCAGCCTAAGGTTAGTAATACATTTTCATACTTGTCTCTAGCACTGGCTAGCAAAATCAGTCGCTAACTCATGAAATCTTTTGAAAGATTCTCAACCTTATTCTTTTGTAGTAAAGTTAAAAACCTTGTAACATTTCTGACTCAGGGACCGATTTCTGTAAAGGATATTAACGAATCAAGTGACTAAAGATAAGATAAGAACACCGATCCAGAGGTCTCGAGTTTAATTCTCTGATGAACCATATTATAATTGCTCTTAAATCGTATCCAGTATATGGCAATAGGATTACTACCCCTCAGCTATCCAGGGAATAAAATAAATAGTCCTATGTTTGCTAACTAATGTACTTTATGTTACAGTCGCTGTGCCACCAATACGGCGGTCACTCATCCCATGTGACGTGCGTTCGATTCCTGCCTGATGACTCGCGCCTCATCTCCACTGGCGGCCTCGATACCAGCGTGTTGCAGTGGGTCGTCGACTAATTTTCTAACAGACGGAAATATACAAAACCGAGATTTATATTAAGGGACAGATAAAATAATATACAAAAATAATCAGTAAGAAAACGTTACTGTGTTGGTAGAAAATACATAAAATTATTTGTCTCTTTATATAAATCCCGGTTCAAAATCCAAGACCAATTTATGTGATTACGAAACTAAAAATCAAGGTATCCAATCACTTTTGACATTAGTCAAATTATACACGTTTATCGACAAAATCATACATTGCATAAAATATTGCTTATTTTAATTAGCACAGAGTTAAAGGTTGATTTTTTTATGAAGGTTAATTATAAGTAAGTCAATCTTTAATTGTTTTTTCAATCTAATTATTGCTAATGTAAGTCACTAAATGTGCGCTGTTTACACACATGTGATTTGCGACGCCTACTACAAACGCCTATTTAATGAATGTTACTTCAGTTTTCATGCACATTGTGCTGTATTCTTATATTTATATTTAAAATATTGTACACTAAACTTACTAGCGTTGCATAGATAGGTGCACGGTTGTGATCATAACGAGCTAAGTAGAAGGCAATTTATTTGTAAACATTTGTCTTTGATCACACAGAATTTAATAATAAATCTAATACCACAATACAAATGTTTACTGATAAGTACAATTGTTAAGGGAATCCGTCGATTTTTAACACTAAGTGTAGAGCGTGTATGGACACACTAACGTTTTAACGAAATGTACACACACTTGAACACTGGTAGGTTTTATGTGATTGAGCTTTTTGGCGCGTAATTTTAATATTTTAGGCATAATATAATTATGTATGTACACAATATTTTACATTGATAAGTGATATTCAGAAATTGTAATACAAATTAGATTATTTTCTTTTTATTTTATTATAAGATCTGCGTTTTGTGAACATTAATTTAATTGAAACTGTCTGATCTAGATGAGGTCGGCAGCCATTGTAAGTTAGTAATATTATTTTATTGTTTGAATGACAAGAAGTTAATTATAATTGTTTTAAATAATAGCAATATGTGTTATGTTGATGCAGCTTACAGTACAAAGAAAACACTTATTTTATAGTCCACTAACGGCCGTTCCCAATATTCAATCCATAGGTAAAGATAGATAGCTATCCTCGATAGTCAGTTAAAATCTATCTATCTTTCGATGTCGTCCCAATAACTAAAATGTGTCTTTGCTATCTCTAGTTAACAGTAGATAGGGTGCCTATCTGAGCCCTCCCGTGTGTTTCATTATATGCAGAGCTCCACAGAGTGCCACTAAGTTACAATAATGTTTTTAAAGCATCTTGTCATGTTTATATCACAAACATTTTGAATTAATTAACGAAACCTTATATTTTGCACTAATTTTATATTATACAATATTTTTTTAAGTTTAATATAACGAAAACTTCATGTTTGCGACTGGAATAGTGCGCGACTTGTAACGGAACGTATTTGTTAAAAGATTGACATTTGACATTGTTGTTTGTTGATTTTGTTTACAATAAATTGTGATAATATAACAAAGAATTGTTTGTTATAAAAATGACCTCAGTAAGTATTACCTCTACAGTTTGTGCTTTTGTAGCTTTAGATTGAAGCTATTGAAGTTTTAAAGTTCTTGATTACATGAACATACATGCGACTAATAACTCGTGTTTGGTGCACTCATTGCAGCAAAAGAATATGCTATTGACGAAAGAAGAAGTAATGCAGCTGGTACAATTGGTGGAGGCAAATCCATTGATGTTCAGCAAAGCCACAAATGCAAGCAATAATCAGCTCAAAGATGCGAGGATTAGGTAACACAGATAGTTTCTTGTGTATTTCATTTTTGGGGTTTGGTATTGGTTATGACTAATTACTTTTCAATACTGTTTGGTTACAAAACTTTTATATGGTGGTTGTAGTGAGGACCAAAATGGAATAATACACTGAATAATATTTTTCTAGGAAAACAGAAAAGACGAGCTGATGCAGATGAAATGAGTCAATTACAGATTGAAATCAGGCAATCGCAGAATATTACTTCCAAGTCAAAAATAAAACACGACGACGAAATACATGCATTAAAGAAACGGAAACTCTAGCTAGATATACTGGAGAAGGAGAAACAACCCAATAATAATTCATGTATTTTAATAATGTATTTACTCTAAGCTTGTAATAATTATCTATATAATATTTATTGCATTTTATTGTAGCTCATGTGAATGTGATAAGGTTACATATGTTCCTATGTTTTACAGTCTAATTTGTTATGTTTTCACTCACTATTCGGTTAAGTTTTGTTATTTGATTTCATCCAAGAATTTTATTTATTACTAGTTTTTAATATTAATGTAACCAATTATAGAGTGATAGTATATTTAGATTTTAGATATATTCATTGTAAGTCACGGGGTGACATAAAGATTAGGAGAAAACTATAGAATAGTTAATAATATATAGGTATAGTTATAGCTCTAAGTAATAGTTATAAATTTCGGCTGATACTAAATTTGTAACGTTTTAAATTGCTGCGCCCTAACAGGGTAATGTACTTAATTAGTTGTATGTAATACTTCATATTACATGTACATTGTGCAATATGAATAAATAAATAAATAAATAAATTAAAACAGTTTATTCTAAACCATCTTTTTTTTACACTGTGTAATTTTGCAACACATAATAATTAAAATAAATATGTAGGTAAGAATAACTGACCTATCTATGTTGATACAATTATAAATTTCTCAAATTTAGTCTTCTTAGCCTAAATCTATACACAAACTCGTAATCGTCATATCAATACATGTAATTTACACGCCCTTGATATGATCGTGTTGTGGTGTGGTGAGCACATCGTCCTCGTCAGATCCCCAGTTCCTTATTTGTTCCAAAATATCAATAGCACGAACTACTACTTGAACTGGAGACCGACATGATTTTTTGTTTAAATCTGATGTATTTTTAAGAAATAGAAAAGATATGTTACTGATCTTCACTGATAACTATACTCCTATATGTATTTTTAAGAAATAGAAAAGATATGTTACTGATCTTCACTGATAACTATACTCCTATCCATCAAAATCCTGCGATAGAGCTATAGCCTACTAGGGATAACCAAAGCTACTGACAGATAGCACCTTTGTTATTATTGGGACGCGTGAACTGTCAATTTCATAGTAAAAGCAATCTGTAGATAACCTATCCGTCCTCCCACAGGTTATGACAACCATAGATTAGTTTGCCTATCGCCAGTAAGTTTATTGAGACGGCAAATTTAAAGATAGATAGATTTTTCTATCTCCAGTAGGGCAAAACAAGGGATAGATAGAATATTGGGAACGGCCGTGAGACGGTAAGCTTATCCATCCGAAGTTTTGGCGGGTGTAATGTACGTATAGCATAGAGCAGAGAATGGCTTGATCAGTTATTCATAAATTACGTTAGTAAAAGTATACTAAACATTATTCATGATTCGAGTACATTCCACGAGCAAGTTGAGCCTAACAGTAACAATATAGTTTCGTGTTTCAGTAGGATCGTAAGGTTTAGTAGCCTAGTCACTGCGACATCCGCATCGGTGTAATTTCTCACGTAACGTAGCACTAAAGTTATTGTATTTGTAAATATATTGTACGACGGTGCCGCCGTCTGTTCATTGTGCCTCCAATATAATTGAATATTTAAAATTGTTGCTGTTTTATTTTATAAATCCTTCAAAACTTTACCTACACGAATATTCAAGAAACCTTAGATTCTTCATAACCATAGAATTTTCATAACTGAAATATAACCTGACACTAGCTCTCCAATCCCTGTGTTCGCCTGCTCCCTCTAATCTTTGCCAACGAGACAGTCAGATTGTAAAATTTTGGTGAAATATATTGTTTACCACAGTTATCATCAGATGAATCGATTTGTTGTTTTTATCTCTTTTTTGCCTGCAACGTTTATACAGTAGTATATTCCTTGCTGATACACAATTAGATAAATTGATAGACTGTCTAAGACTCTTAGTTAGAACTTTTGTAAATTAAGACAATAACTTTACAATGCCAAGGCAGCGAACATATTATTGGGGAGAATCGGGCAAAAGGAATAAAAGTAGCACTGTATTATAATAGCTAATATTATTATGAACACATTTCTGCTATACCTAATAAAAAAAATATTAAAAAAAGAAAACATAAAAATAAAACAATTTATTAAAATAAATAATAAATCGTTCGAAACGAACTAATAATGATACAAAATAAACATAAAGTAATATTCAAAACACAATGTCACTCCAAAACCTTTCCTTACACTGTTACAATGTTTGCTTACAGTGACGCATAATATACGCGTCACACTATTTCATTCTTTAGTGTTTTGTAATTAATTTACTACGAACGGTCTACCTACTATATTTCATTGGATAACAACATATTTCACCAATATCACGTAGATAATAAAACAGGAAATAAATAGATATTGCTATGCTAAGACCTCATATGCACGAAAAGGTTTCGAAGTATAAAAAACTTAAAAGTAAATTGCCGATTGAATACAGCTCTAATCGGATTGCAAACGAAACTATTTGTAACTTCTGGGATAACTTAAACATGGTTCTTTATTTACATCTGCTGACAGAAACCGTCTGGGTAATAATCTAGACACGACTGTTTACATAAGCGATTCTTATATACTATTTAACAGACTTCTTATATGCTTCAAGTCATAACTACCAAGTTAACTCGCTATACTTTACAAAACAGTCTAGTGCCGCATTGCACACAACAAAAGCTACACTATTTCCGCGGAACACGTCCGGTCGAACGTTTCGTCTAATGTTGCGTCTCACAGGATATCATGGACAGGTTTATGAAAACCATACATAAAAGTCAACGATTTAATTCAAGTCTACATTAATTCTCCTATATTAATTGTTCTACGCTACTGGCGGACAGCTCGAGCAGTCGCCAGGCCGCCTTGGGGTTGAGCTCGGCGGGGTCCCGGCACAGCACCCACACGTAGTTGACGCGCATCACCTTGTCGGGGTCGCCCTCTATCACTTTGTTCTTACTGTCTCTGACGCACATGATCTGCTGTGACTGGAATGTTATGACTAGAACTGGACCCTGGTCCATCATTTTGCCCATGACGAGTTCGATCTGTTCGATATCCAGGATCTTAGAGTCTAAGTGATACCCGAGCTGTTTGCACTGTTTGATGGGTGTGGCCAGGATGTTGAACACGCCTTCGTAGCACCAATCTTTGAGAATTTCCAAATCTCCTCGTACCATTGCTTCGAGAATATTCGGTATGATGTCGTTCGCACAGTCCTCTAAGAACTTCTGAGCCGTGAAATTAGGGTCGATCTTGCATATTTCGGTAAGGGTTTTGGACAGTTCGGTCTTCTCGAAAATATTGCCAAACAAACTGCCTACCTTCTCGGTGACGAATCGTGAAGCTTTCACTACAGGGTTGTCGGACTCTTCGTATTTTATCTTCCAATCTAGTACCTGTAGTAACAAATAAGTATAATGTGAAATAAAAGTAATACATTTTAACATTTGGTTGTTTTTAAAAAACGGTGCCCCACTAGGATATTCTCCTGTATCGTGGGTACGTTTACAAACATACAAGTTCACATATACATGACACCCAGACCCGGAACAACTCTGTGTGATCCACATCCACTCGGGAATCGAAGACAACCGCGACACGTTGCGCGGCAGCCAGTTGCCCAACCACCGGACCAATCGTGCAGTCAATAACGAGGCAGGAATGAATGTGTGACATTGTACCTTATTGAAATATTGGTTGTTGTTCTTGAAGCTCTCCCACTGCTGATAGAACTTGGAGTCCTTGTGCAACTCCACGCCTACAGTCTCAGTGTCTGGAGCGAACGTGCGCTCGTCAGAAGCAACCTGTAATATACAATTAGATCTAATAATTCACATCCAAACATGAACAGTAAAAATGAATCAATTTCTTCACTTAACTACAGATAACAATAATTTAAAATTTAGGGGGAAATGTAAAAATACAATAATATTATTTTCTGTATTAACTCACTACCTACGCATAGAGGGGAAACAGTTCTTGTGAAGCACAACCAGCTTCTTACCTTCTAAGACTAATAATTACAAGCTAATTATATTGACCTCAATGCGTTTCCGTAGGGCATTGGGTGCCATGTAGACGCGGCCCTCCAGTCCTCGAGGCGAGATCTCGTCCTTCACTACTGCTGTCGCCTGGAAACATATTTTGACATGCAAATAAGTTTCGTGAAACATAATAAATTAATTCTTTCTTTATTGAAACAAAGAGTTTCGTTTTTCTTGTATAGAAGCACTATTTCTATGGATTGTCAGTATGCATAATATGTGAGCACCATGTTAGACTATAATTTTTTTTTATTTTAGTAAGTTATTAGTATAATGCGTCAAGCGTGTCTTTGCATTGTTCTTACATATGCGTACAGTATTGAAATAGGTATGTATCAGAGACATTTTAAAAAGAGTAACGAATGGAGTTTCTTGCTCGTTCTTCTCCATTCAAATTGATCTAGTTTCACTGACAGACTTGTTGACGTTTCAAAAGTACCAAACTATGGTTTAATTGAAATAAATGCTTTGACTTTGACTTTAATTTTCAATATTTTTTGGTTTAATAATGCAACTGTTTGACGAGAAACAAATATAGGCTATAAAACATCTACTACCAATAGGAGCCAAGCAGAGCAGGTATCTAGTAAAAAATAAATGTTTTTTTTTTTTTTTTTTCCCAAATACATTTGCAATCAGCCCCAAGGCTATGAGCAAATCTTCTGTGCGATCTGTCATGCGGAGTGACTTCCCATTGGAAGCTCTACTCATCTGCTGCCTAGACCTACTGTCTGTCTTCGAGTTCTAGGATGTGGTGTCGTTTTAAACGTTTCACATACTGGTTAAAAATAAATGTAAAAATTATTTTAATAGATAATTTCATTCATATAATTCTGAATGTACAAAAGTGATAAGATAAGCAGGACTTGAGAGCACATGGTAATATTATATAATACTAATTGTAACATTGTAATGCTTACATGTGAAATAGTTCTGAAAGCAGTTGTCTGACCCAGTTTGGAACCCGTGTCAGCTATGCTTTCAGCGGCGCCTTTCGCTGTCTTTGATAAATCCTCCTTTATCTGTCCTGTAACAGAAAGTTATTTTATTTATATGTAGTTACTAGATGGCCGGGCAAAGTCCTTGCGACAGCTAAATAGATTTTGAAATTTGTCATTTCATTGGTATTAATTTTCTAAAATAATAAAGTTGTAATTTTTCCAATCAAAATATCTGGAAGTCAAAGTGGAAGTGGGAGCCTCTAGTCTATGTTCAGCAGTAGACATAATATATTATGGCTCATAATAAAATAAATATAGAGATAATTAAATTACACTGTACAATATTCTCACCAGCTTTCTTGGCTATCTCAGTTTTACTAGCTTCTTCAATGACATGCTCCATCTTGCCCTTGATTCCCTCAAATGTTTCCTTCAGTACTTCTGAACTCTTGGAAGCTTCCGATTCAACCGCATGGAATTTCCTTCTGGCAGCCTAGAATATAGGTATGACTGATGTTAAGAGAGATGCTACCTATATCTAAATACATATCACAAATACTACATACTACAAGTTGTCCTATAAAATAAAGATTAAAAAAAAACATTCTGGATCTGTGTCATGTGTGATACAATATTGTAATGATTTTAAACTTGATTATCGTCAACCCATTTACCTTAGTTAGAAAGAAACAAGTTTAAAGAGTTAAGCAACATAAATATAAATAGAAAAACAAAGTTCAAAGTTCATATAGTTAGTTAAGACTTTGGTTTCTATATGTATGTATGATTTGGCAAGTGTTTTAAGATGATACACAGTACTATATGCTGACATTGGCCCAAGTTTAAGATAACTATTTCCATAGCACTACATCCATCCAGTTTAAATTTTTACCCTTTGCCATTCTTACACACAATTCCTTCATACTAATATAATAATCATCTCTATCTCTCATATCTAAAGTCTTATGTAACAAACCAGTAATGCTTCTGAGTTCTCTAGTTTCTGTGCCTCTTCCCTGAACTTCTTGATGTTGTCCTTCATCTCTTTGTTCTTGGCCATCTCGTCCTTGATGTTCTCGATGATGGATGAGAAGAAGCCCTTCCGTGCTGAGTAGTGCCGACATTCTCTCACGATGTACTGGAACAGTAAGCAAAAACTATGTAAGCTAGCTTGTATTGTTTGCTGGGTTTCTTATTGAATTTATCTTGTATTTACATATTGTTAAATAAGATTCTAGTTAGAACTTGTGAAGACAAGTTAACAATTTTAAACATACAAATACAACTATTTTCTGACTTAAACAATTGCTGAATTTTTATTGATATACATTTTTAGATGGAACATTTTCGAGAAATTATGGTTAAAACGATAGATGATTCTGTAAGCTAAAATACAATAATTTCGTCATTTTAATGAGAAAAATTAATCATTTACTATACCTGATCTGGTCTGTTGAAGTATATCGTCTGTTTCAAATTAATTGGAATAGCACATTTCCACCGTGCTGGGCTGTATAATAATTGTCGACATGCATGCTAAAAAATAAAAAAAATATTGAAAATAGAATCATGCATCAAGGACGTTGAACATAACCTAACCTAAAATTCAGTAGATGGACCTCACCATTTTTTTTAAACACCCAGTAAATCGCACGGAATCTAAGGGATAACTGTTTTTTTACTTTATTATTCTATTGAAAATCCTGATATGTAAAAGAAAAGTCGAATTTTATAACATCGACGAAAACTTATTCATAATCCGTGTAATCTTCTGTCAAAAGGACTTGAAGTTTGTTTTTGCTGCGGGAACAAGAAGAATCGTTGTCTATACCTTCAGTTGTCATTTGATTATTGACTAATCACAAAATTACAATACTATTATGACAAATAAAAAATTTGTGTAGATCACTACAAAACAGTATTTCTATTTTCAACAATAAGTGAAAAATTAAAGGAATAAAATGAAAGTTTTGGCTTCCCTGAAAAAAGTAAAAATTAAGATAGTTAAGGCTCAATTGATATGTTAATACTCAATTTATTCAACGTAATTTACAGGATTACATTTACTATAAAATAGCACTATTATCTTAAATGAAATGGAAAACTAGCTTTCGAGGAGCATAGATAATGTTGATATTTAAAAGATTTCGTACTTCCTGTTGCCAATTTTATTTCGGAGTGATTTATTTTCGCTTGTTTATTGTAAATAATCAAGTATAAAATTTTCTGTTACTAATAAACACCCAAAGAACTAGAAATGAAATATTTTTCCAGCATTAAATCGTACATTCTAAATTATGAGATCGTCGTTGTTTCAAGTTTAAAAAAAATGCTTGTTTCCGGTGTGAAGGCAGTTCAAGAAACATAAGAAAGTGTACAATTTTCATTTATTTTCTGTCGTCATATTTAGACACGGAAACGTGTTGCGTTTGATGAAATCTCATTTATTTTATGTTCGTCTGTAGTTGATTGTGATCCTTGCTATAATACGCGTTCCAAGTGCACGCCGAGGGTGGAATAGCGAGGTGCTTCGTCATAGACAGTGGAAGGTAGCTAGCGACGTAATATCGAATATCTTAGTCCATATTTACGTATAGTATAGTATAGTACAGTAGGTATCGCGGACCGTGGTCACCACGTTTTCGCCAGCTGGTGCGTACATTGCTGCAGTAGAGATTGGTTAGGATAGTTGGAAATGTTGCGTTGGGATAGTGTGTGTGTATTTTTAGCTGATTGTGGTGTTACTGATTGCGGCAGGTAGTGCGCCCGGCGTGTGCGAGGCAGTTCATCTGAAGCCAGCTTCCTGGAAGCCAGTATCAACAATTGATCCCGTTCGTCAGCTCTCGTCCATTGGGGCGTTACCGTTTTATATGACTTTAGCAAGATATAAAGGTGAGTGATATTCTTTTTCTTACTTATTTTATAACCCGCAAGTGACCCGCGTGGACTAAGCATTAAATCTAAAATTTTAATACAGTTTCGCTAATAACCAAAATTGCAACTCTCTATCCTTATTTTTGGCATCTAAAGAGCAATAATCTTAAAAACAACAATTTTTACTGAGGGACTGGTGAACTACGTTCTGTTTTAATTTTTTATAACCATTTAATAGTAATTTCATAATTTGAGTAGTTTGACAAAATGTCATCAAAACCTGTTCAACAATAAGAACAATTCTAATACAATACTAATACCCAGCTGAAGTTTTAATGTATAAAGATAAAAAAAATGTTAGATTTTCTTATTGGGACTAGCAAGTTGCAATGCAGTTTTAACAATACCAGTATAATATAAACAAACGAAGAAGGCATTTATTTTATGAAACATTTTAGGCAATTAACTCATTATAAATTGATAGCACAAAATAATATCTAGAATTCAGTTTTAAGTTCTTACTTTGAGCCATCATAATCCGTACAATCAAGCCACATACTACAATGTTATCTTATACACACATTATAATGGATTGATTGTAAAAACGTTCACTCAAAATTATTGATCTAGCCATGACTTGCAATATTTCAAACTTGGAATCTGTATTTCATAAATTCTTATCAGCCAGTTTTTACATTCACTCTGCTGAGGATAACCATATTTACATACGTAACAGAAAATAAATGGAACTTTTGTTCCCTGAGAAGTTGTATAGTGCATAATAGTTATTAAAATATGTAACAACTAGTGACCCACCCCGGCTTCGCACGGGTGTATAATGCATAAAAACCATCCATAAGAATCACTCTATATATTAAAAATAAACGGATCAAAATCTGTTGCATAGTTTTAAAGATCTAAGCATACATAGGGACAGACATATGGTGGACAGCGGCTTTGTTTTATACTATGTAGTGATTACTATTCACCAGATACAAAATCACATCATAAAGAAATAATTAAGATTGAGGAGTATAGCTTTTTGTAACATGTTAAACATGTAACATTTATTCTAATAGGCATATAATATCAATGGAATTTAGAAACAGGGTATGCAGATAAAAAGTAACCCGAGCACGAAAATATATCAAAAGTAGTTATTTTTGAACTATATCGAGCAAGTAGGCAAAGTGGCAATATGATAATGAATATTAATTGTTATCAGTGTGGTTATCAATAAGTTAATTAACTTGGCCAGTAGTAAATGCTACAAATAACATGCTGAGTGAAATTACTGATTGCAAACTATTGTTATTGTAACATTCAACTTGTATGTGTATCATATTTTTTATTTGTCTTCATAGGTTCTGTACTTAGCTTATGATACATATTGTTTTCGTAATGCAGTGAAAAAGTCATATAGGTAATATTCATTGTCGTTCAAGTTGATTTGTATAAAAATGATTGACTTGTGTACATTTTTTCTTACCTATTTGTATTTAGTAATATTTAATTTAATATTATATAATTTAATATTTATTTATTTTATTTTTACCTAATCAAAAGGTCTTTCAGAAGTCTAAATAATCTGTTAGAATGTTTGATTTTTAACCTTCTCTTTAGAATGATTCAATTCATAAAACAGTTCAATCATGACTGAAAATTTAACTTTCTTCTCCCTTTACAAAAACAATACATGTTAGGTGTGAATATATATGACGTAATAAATAAGACTTGTTACTAGAACATATATCAAAATACCAAATAGAAGGTAAACATGCAAAGTAAATGCACCTCTGTTTAGTCCATGAAGAAGTGACATTGACAGAATCTATAATAGGTACCTTGCACTGGAATAAGCAGCCTACAATCAGAATGCATCCATTGCAATATCCTCCCAGCCTTTATTTCTTATCAATAACGAACCTAGCTCCTTGGACGTGACTCAAAAACGTCTACAGGTGATGTGTACCCACCTACTTTCTAAAATTCAGTCTGTCTGCTGCCTATGTCTCGTGAATATCGATCGGAAATGCTTCCAGCGATGCACGTCAGTTGCATCCATGACATCTTTATCAATACCAGCTATTTTAATTGCCACATTATCGCCTTGTCATTACACTTGACGGAATTTCAAAACTGACAGTTTTGTTATCAGTATAATTACTGGTGGTGAATTAATGACGGCGACAGTATCCAAATATGTCTTACAAAATTTATGAAATAACGTTCGCTTGATTCTGTGTCCTGCGAAATAGTGTCTAGAAGGTGTTTTTTCCTTCCAGTGATCACCTATGTCATCCCCTCAAGCTATGTTTATTTACATGCCATCGCTTCGGCGAACCGCCTCTCATAAAAATAAAACAATAAATACTATCGTGTCACTCCTTATGTCATGCACGATACAAACGTGCCCTGTCGTTTTCCTGTTTATACTCTCATGGTCTTTCGATAAACTTTGACTTGATCGTATCTGCTGTCAAGTTCCGCTTCTAAACCATAAGTACAATACTGTTCCGATGCAATATCACTTGCAAATCTCTACATTTTGCTGTACATTATTATCCATTCTCCGTTTAATTGTGGGTAAGAGTAAAGTAAGTTATTACTACAAAATTAGATACTATAGATATTATTATGAGTTCTCGAAAATTAAGCCATAAATCCTCATATTCCAAGTCTTTTTGTGTCTTAGAAAGAGAAATTATCTCATTCAATGTCAGTGTCTAAAATTCATACTTTTTTACTAAAGATATTCCAACCGCGTCCCACACGTACATTCCTCGATTACGCGTTTTATTTGACAAAATACCTATTCCACGTCATAATAGCTTAGGCTCTGAATACGCAATTCTGATGTAAATTCTACTAGGTAGCGTGATTTTCATGCAAATGCTTGAGATTGAATGAGATCCAATAACGATTTACATGTGTGTAGTTCCCGCGATGGGACCTTTTAGATATGCAAATTGTAACAGCGTACTGGCTCAAGAGAGACTATCATTCAATGTGTAGAAATGTAATGATTTATACAATTCCATCGTGCGTTCTAAAAATAAATGCGACTAAATCTTCGCTACTACAATGCGAAAAATCGACGACGACGACTACGACCTATAAACATGGATTAGACAGGCACAAAACTAAATGGAATGCACACTAAAACTAACTCATGTATAACGCACTACAGATTTATTGAAGTTTAAAAGTCCGATCTAAGCGTAGGTGCCGGGCGCTCCACGTGCCAGCTCGGCCGCTGCAACTCCACCCACCCCTGACATCTCGCACTCGATCGATACACATTTTGCACAGAATTATATTGGGTTACACATACCATTACGGTTCGCGAGTACCTCATCTACTGGAAACTCAATATACGTCCTATAATAGACTGCGTGGGCTTTCAGTCCTCATGCTTGATTGGAAAATATGATAGCGTATCCGACGGCTCATAATAAATATTCATTATGAAGTATCCTCCTGAAATTCTTTGGTGCTCGAGGTAAGATGACTTACCTTTCGCCCCTTAACGTTTTGTACAAAACGTTTTTAGATTGATTTTCGAAGCAACAAAGGAAATTGTCGGGAAATTAGGAGTTTCGTTGAAAATATATGAAATATTCAGGTTGTTTTCTAAAAATTTCAATATCCGCGGAAACACGACGAAAATATTAAAAGTTAGTTGGATGCAGATGTGCGTTCCCGTCGCGTTTGATTTCCCGCATGGCTGGCTTTTCACTCTACGTTATTGAGAACGCGGACGTCTGCACCACCAGATGAGTCTAGTCTAGCTGAAAATGCAAAAGTAATTCAATGAAATTGATTTCAATAGACATAATAGACATTTATGTGGGTAGATTATTCGAGATTGTATTGTAAATCTGATGTAAACCCATTTCTCTTCAGCACTGTGATAAGTTTGCTTTGGGAAGATTCCTTATTGAAACTTCATAATTTTGCAAATTTCCT